TTCATTAGCCTACATTCAAATAAAGAGAAAGGAAAAGGAATGGACCTAAACGAAAAGGAAAACCTATAATTCGGCTCCTGAAATTTACAGAATCCATCGTACTTAAAAAAAATATATTTGGTTTCGTAATGTCCCACGTTATTGGGATAACCAAATAATCCTCCTTCAATCATTGATCGCTTGGAGAGATAGTACGAGTCTTTATCCTTGCTCTTTTTTAGCATGTAGGCACATGCAAGCTTTAGCGCCTAGGCTCTCCCAGGTCGTGTTCACAGAACAAGATGCACATCACCACTGCCTTGATGTACCTATTCGGCGTCAACTAGAATGGTGCAATCTCGAAGTGGTCGAGTATCGACCTGATGAAGGGGTGGAAAGGAACTTGGACCTCGCATTTGAAAATTGCTTCAAAGATCACATCCATTCCATCGGGAGGATCTTGAGCCGTAAAGCTTCTTTTTCAATACAAGTTCTCTGAGATCGCATACTGATATGCAATCTTCTGAAGCTCTTTTGCAGAGATCGTGGACCTAGCGAACTTCGGGTTTTCGGGTCTTATAGATGAGGTACCTGGTTGGAAGGTGTCTTCTTAACCAAACTTCCCCATTTCAGCTCTTGGTGTCCACTCACTCTGATAACCACCTAGATACTCCACTGGTTCTACCGTTTGTAAAGGGATGACAACCAACGGGATTCAAACCCTAAATAATCTACCTTAAAGGATGACTCAGAAGAAGACTCAAAGGATCCACCCATGGGCGATTTACTGCTAACCCTAGAAACTCCTAAAAAGATCCATCTGGATTCTTTAGCCTAAGTTTTCTAAGCTTTTTGATGACTTCCTCGACCACAACCTAGAAAAATGCTTCTTATCTACCCTACCAGGTACCCACAAATCACCATGATTGTAAAAATACTAAAAAAGTATAAAAAAAATGAGTGAAAGAGAAGAAAGCTTTTACCTTACAGTCACTGAAGGGACGTATTCTGGCGTAATGTTGAGTTCGCATCAACGGGATAAGAAAACTAAGTTTTTTTAGAGCAAGAAACGAAAGTTTTCTCTAAAAAAATTCTTAAGTTTTCATAATTCATGGCAAAGTTAGGGTTTTAAGGTGGAAAGGTGATGATTTAGCTGCCTTATATAAGCAAAATTTGGGTGGGAATAAATTTCTTACTGTTGATCTCGTCCACGTGTCATCGATCCACAAAAAGAGTGATTCCCACATTTTGCCATAAACCAATCAACAATATCCTCTATCGAGAATTGAAATCGCCGGTGTAATCATCTCAACCGCATTAAATGCACCCCAAAAGAATGTCATTTCAGTATGCTAGCATTTAATTTTCATGGTTAACATTAATTGTGCACAGTGTCACTTTTGTCAGATAAAGAATCCTTTATTGTTGTACTAGCTATCAATGCGACAAAAAAATTTGAAGAGGTCGTTCAAAAGAGGCATTCATTTGAATTGTCATAAGCGAACACCAACTCAAATTGTTCAAAAGCTCTAAGCAATGGAAAAATCTAAGTTTTTCAGATCGTGAATAATGAGCAGAGTCCAAAGCATTTTCTGAGGTCTTGAGATACGATCAAGCTTAGATCGCTGGATCTCCATAAACGATCATCTTGAGGTCGTGTGCACAACTCTCAGGTTGCAATTCACGCTCGACCACCAGCTGCGGATCAAGACAAAATCTCATAAATAGCATGAAGCGATAGCTTTCGGTTCTCAGCAACTAGCATCAGGTCATCTCCAACAATGTGGTCGCCCCAACTCTCAGATCGGATGCATGTCTCCAAGACCAACCAAGTTAGGTCGTGGCATAATCATGAAGTTCCCGAAATCCAACACTTTGAACCTCAAGAACTGGGGAACTTCTATTATGCCTAAAATAAGGGTTGACCTATAGTGGTGTCATCAAGTACCAATCAGAATTCAAGAAAGTATTCTATTGTTCAGAACATGCCACGTCTACAAAGGCAAAAGGAATATAGTTGTCAACAATCCAATCGACTCAAGAATTTGTCTCTGAATGAATTTGGTTCGCACACCTGCCCAAGCCCCATTTAATTTAAAGATATTCTTTGAGTTCTCAACGAATGGGAAGGCAGGACAGATCTTCACGGCATTAGGCCACTTACAAAAGTGTAATCATTACCTAGAGCAAAACGGATATAAATAGGCAGCCCCCCCTCACAATTTTGGGATCAGACACTCACGAATTCAACAAAGAAAATAGCAAAGACATACTATTAGAAAGAGACTGGCTTGCCATTCTATAAGAACGCTTAGAACACCAAACACTTGTAATAACAGATCACAGTTCGCGACCTCTTGTAAGCCTGTCTAACAACCATGAACAAATTGACATAAACGAATAGAGTAGATGTAGGATTTGTTTTAAGCATCTAAACCACTATAAAAATTCTATTATCAACTTTACATTTACGTCTTTGCATGTTACTGTGCATATAGTACCTCATCCTCAAAATTTAATTAGCTCATGTGTGATTTCTTAGCACTTTACACGTGCAAAGTCGTTGGTGTCAAAATCAAGCATCAACACAAATCAACCACATATCTGACTATGAGCACTGTTGGGTACTTACCCGCTCTTTCATATGAGGATACATGATACAATTATATTCTGAAAGAGGAGATAATATTTTTTTTTTTCACTAAAATTATATCTTTATTTAAAAATTGAAGACAGGAGTAAAGATTTAGCCAAAAATTGAAGATTATGTTTGATTGTATATATTTATATAAAAATTATGTCAAGTTGTGGAGTCGACCAGCTGCCATTTCTTCGACTCTTTTTCATGAAAATTATGAAGCTATACTTAACATTTAATGTTTCAAAAGCTATATGCTTGGAATCGAAAGATAAAGGAGAATAATGCGTTTATTTTTGGTTAGGTCTACTCATTTATTTAATGAAAAGATATGTTATGTTAATTGATAGTTTTGGTAGGGTTTACAATAAAATAAAGATAATCATCTCGGCATCATAGTCCTTACAAGAACCAGAATATCTTCCAATATCAAGGTTTGACCCACTGATTCTTTTTTTAAATAAATGAGGTGATACTTACACCTCGTTTAAGACTTTTCGGGTTGAGACAAGTTTTTGGGTAAGAATTTTTTTTTTTTTTTTTTTAACCGAGGATGTCCAAACCAACTTACGCACACCTCGACTGGTCCTCCGACCTCGAACAAGGCTTCCAAAACAGGGCAAGCCCTGCAGTCCGTGGCCAAAGTAAGTGGGTTGATATTCTTATAAGTTGCTATAACCATACTCCTCCTTCAATCTAACATGTTTCTTTAATGGCCATAATAATTTGTTCATCCATCATCATTTAATATTTCATTGATTCCATTTTTTGCTAAAAATAAAAATGTTGAAGCTAGAGGAGAAACTCGATATTTAAAGTCTAATTACACAATGACATAATATATTAATTTCACGGGCTCATAGAAAAGATTATTAGGTTAACATAAACACCCCACTCCTTTTAACTTCTGTTACAGCTCTATTAGAATAATTTCTGTTACACCCCTCTAACATAAAATATTGACAAGTTGTCTCATGTTATTAGCCACTTACACCCTTTATCATCAATTTTTGGTGTCCAAGTTAACTAATGGAAGGACAAAATAGAACTTTGATAGTAACATACAAAATTATAAATTAAATATTTCAAAATAATATAAAACTATCTAGAAAATGTTTTTAATATATTTAAGATTTAATATTATTTAAAAAAAATTACTTTTTTTCAAAAGAGGTGTTCGACAAACTCTTATCTTCGGAACCACCATTTTTAGATTGCCGGAACAACGATCTCTTTTTCTTTTTTTGTAAATTTCTAAATACCATAGTTAACTGAGGCAAATACCTTTGATGATGCCTCCATCTTCTGCAATTACATATATGCCCTTAGATATTTTAAGATTTGACCATTATATGCATGTAACTTGATAAAAAAAAAAAATTAATATGTTTCTTAAAAAAAACTGCAAAACAATTAAAACAATTTATTAAAAACAATGAATTTATTTTAACATTTTATTTGTGAACTAAAACTTTTTTAAAATTAAAACATTATTTTTAAATATTATTTTTCTAAATTAATAAATATGTGATGAAAAATTAAAAATATTTTACAAAGTGAAAATATTTATATATTTGTTTGTAAATTGAAAATTCAATAATAAAAAAAAAAACGAAGAGATCGTCGGTTCTAACAGTATAAGAATGATGGTTTTGGCGATCTCTAACCATTGGACACCTCTTGTTAAAAAAAAAAAAAAAAAAAAAAAAGGTAATTTCTTTTAATAATACTAATAAATCATAAATATATTTTATATTTAATTTTTTTTTCTAAATATTTATGTAATATTACAATTTTGTGTTTTAACATAAAAGGTCTATTTCACACTTCCCTTAGTTAACTTTGACACAAAAAATTGACGATAATAGGTGTAAGTGGCTAATTACGGGGGAAAATGTTAGTTTCATATATTGGAGGAGATGTAAGGAAAATAGTCCTAACAAAGCATTAACAGAAACTTAAAAGATTAAGGTATTTGTATAATACCTTAATCTTTTAAGGTATTATACGGAAAATGATAAGAGTTACTAAAAGTTATACATCGAATTTGTGTACCGAATAACGTGACAAAATCCTGACCGTTAATTAATATTAACTTATAATGAATCAACGGTCAAGATTTCGTCACGTCATTCGATGTACAAATTCAGTGTACACCCTTCAATAACTGTAACATTACTCATTTGTATACTCTTATAAAATATTGACAGAGGCAACTTCCACGTAATTAACTCAATATATAACCGTTGCTTTTTTACATTCATTAACTTGAAGACTTTACTTAAACAAATTTGGTAATCCACCATCGAGATGGTAAAATATTAATAAATAATATTTAATTAATATAAGAGGAATATCATGCTTACAACTCAAATCTCGCCAATTCTCTTTCACAATCCTGATATAGTAACTCTCTGTCTATTCAATTGTGAGGTGCCAAGGTTACGATCGTGGGCTACTGACAGGCCACAATCTTTCTCATATCAGGTTTTCCTAAAGTTCTTCATTCAGTACTCTGTAGCTACTGACAGGCCAGTACAGCATATTCTCATGGCTGAAGCTCTGATCACAGCTGCGAAATGCTTTGTTCCTAAATCAAAGGAGGAAGAAGAAGAAATCGAAAGAATCTACAACAGTTACAGAAACATAATCGCAACCCTTCCAAGAAACAGAGGATGGGCGACTCAGCATCTTTGTCAATATCAAGGTTTTTGGTTTCAACCCATGGTTGGTCTTGAAGGGATCATGTGGATGCAACAACACTTCATCTCTCGACCCACTGACCTTTACCTTATCTCCTCTCCAAAATCAGGTACTACTTGGCTTAAAGCTCTCCTTTTCTCTATAATGAATCGAACTCGGTATGATTTTTCAACTCACCCCTTGCTTACCACTAGTGTCCATGAATGTGTTCCCTTCATGGATTTTGACCTTTTCAAGACCACTCCGATTGCTGAACCTGAAGTTCTTCCATCACCACGTATTTTTGCAACTCATATACCTTTCACTTTGTTACCAGATTCCCTAAAAAATTCATCTTGTCCGATTGTTTACATTTGTAGAAATCCTAAAGATGTTCTCGTTTCTTTATGGCAATTCGTGATGAAGGTGAAACCCCAGGATCTGCCTCCACTGTCGCTAGAAGATGCATTTGAAATGTTTTGTGACGGGATTTCTCCGGGTGGATCCTATTGGGATCATGTTTTAGGATATTGGAAAGCAAGTTTAGAGTTTCCAAGCAAGATCCTTTTCTTGAAATATGAAGATATGAAAGAGGAGCCTTTACTGAATATAAAGAGAGTGGCGGAGTTTGTTGGTCGGCCATTTTCTTTGGAAGAAGAAGAAAATGGGACTGTGCAAGAAATTTTGAAACTATGTAGTTTTGAGAAAATGAAAAACTTGGAGGTGAATAAGAATGGATTCTACCGTGTTCGCAACACTAAAAACGATGTCTTCTTTAGAGAAGGAAAGGTTGGAGATTGGAAGAATCATCTAACAAATGAAATGGCAGAACGTCTTGATGAAATTGCAAAGCAAAAGTTCCATGGTTCCGGGCTAATGTTTTAGTTTTATACCCAAGATTAGTGACATGTTCTGTTCTGTTCTGTTCTTTGATGGTTAAATTAATGTAGAGTTTGTATTACTTCCATTTCCATAGGAGATGATTGTAACTTGTAGGATGTGGTTGAACGATTCAGATCAATTGCAAATATTTTCTTTACATTCTATTATTAATTAATATCAACCCTAAAGTATAAATAAATTATTGTAAAATCACCATCATCTACCACCTAATTCAAATTTTATAATCAAAGTTGAGAACAGCTAACATCAAACCACAAGGTTCATCTTCAATATCTGTGTAGTGGGTTTCTTGGCCCAAAATACAAACTTATATAGCCCAAATCAAATAAAAATTCATTCAAACCCATCAATTGCATTCAAATAAAAGTTATCATTGTGGGAAAATAATTGCATAATACAAATAATGCAAAGAAAGATTTTATTTGTTTGTGAATGAGCCTGCTGTGTGGTGAATCATTGAATAGTTGTTGACTTGATAGTCTTTTTTGTTGTGTATTATTGCTGATTTTGCTCTTAAAGATTTTTCTTTTTGGTTTGCCTCCTCCAGTCCAGTCCTCCTTCTCCATTCACGATCTTCTTCAAGCTTCAGCAGTTCAGCTTCAGCCTTCAAGTCTTCAACTTCAAGTCTTCAACCTCTTCAATCATCGCTGGTCTGCTACTCTGCTTCTTCCTTGTCGTGGTTGGTCTGCTACTCACTCGTTAGTCGTGACTTCAACACTTCAGTTCAGAGTCTTCATTCTTCAACTTCAAGTGTTCAACGGTTAAAACTCTTCAATCATCGCCGTCGCCATCTAAAAGCCTACTTATTCCTTGTTGTTGCTGGTCTGTCAGATTTGTCAGTCACTACTTCAACTTCAATTGAGATCTCAGTCTTCACATCTGCCGCTGTCTGCAAGCTGCCATCTGCCGTCGACCAAGTAACAAACTGCTGTAAGAGACTAAGAGTCATCCTATCTTTCTCTGTCTTCTATTTCATATCATGATTCATGATATTGTATTGATTCATAATATTGCATTATTGTGAATCTGTGATGTGAATCACTGAATCTGTCAATTTAAATTTTGAAACTCTTAAAACTGATTTCTTATTGTGAATCTGTCATTTGTCAATTGAATTTATGAAACTCTAAAATGTAATTTCTCATAGGAAATTTAGAAATTGATGGTGAAACTGTGAAAGTTTCACCGTGAAGCTTCATTACACTATTACAATAACAGAGTTGAAGGTTGTAAAATGTAACTCTAAAATGTAAGCTTCCTTGTGTTGAAACCATGATATAGGATTGGGATAAATAAGAGGATAACTTTTTGTTATACTTTCAATTTGTGCGCAGCATATTGCCATTTAAACTTCGAAGTTTTTTTTTAGTTTTTGCGGATGTCATCATGCTAACATCAGCAGTCCGACCGACCGGTCCAACCGGGAAAATCGAAAACCGGCCGAGTCGACTCTTGGTCCGGTTTTCAGAACATTGCTTGTAACATAGTTATGATTCTACAGTTAGATTACACACAGCCAATTCCGAAGGATGCCAAAATGAAACTCCACTTGCGGATGGTGATAGCCAACTTGGAACTATTGGATGTGTAGCTGTTGATAATGAAGGAAATTTAACTTCTGCAACTTCTACGGGTGGATTTGTTAACAAAATGGTGGGTAGGATTGGGGATACACCCATCATTGGTGCAGAAACATACGCAAACAACCTCTGTGCAATTTCTGCTGGCAAGGGTGAAGCAATAATACGAGCTACTGCTGCGAGGGATGTTGCCGCTCTTATGGAATTTATAGGTCTCTCTCTGAAGGAAGCAGCAGCTCATTTTGTAGAGGAGTGCGTTCCAAGAGGCACTGTGGGGTTGATTGTTGTGTCTTCCACAGGGGAAATCACCATGCCTCTCAATACCACAGGCATGTTTCGAGCTTGTGCTACTGAAGATGGGTATTCAGAAATTTGAATATGAAATTCTAAGGAAAATTAAGTGATTTACTTGAGTTTTCAGTTGTTTTAGGTTCCCCGTGCTTCAAAGCTATGTTGTTGCGAAAGGAATTGCTTTCAGATAACTATAATTGTTGTGAATGTTGATGTTTCAATAACACTTTCATACCAGTGATGTAATAAATTATTCTTGTTTTGCTTGCATTAAACAGTAAAATCTTGTAATTGTCGAATTTGTATATTTGTAAGACGAAAAAAATGTTCGTGTTTCTTGGGGGAGGAATTATATTTACTAGGGGAGAACGACTTACACATACCCAAGATTCATCGTAACGACAAGTTGGTACCCAAAAGGTTTTGAAATGACAAATAGGTACTTTCCGTCATGTTCTGTTAGTGATTTCTGTTTATTACTGTTTATTAATAGTGAAAAGACTAAAATGCCCTTAAAAGTTTGAATTTTAGTTTTTTATAAATTTAAAAATTTCAAAAAACCCCCTAAGTTTACAAATTTCACTAAATACCCCAATATATAAAAATTTTATAAAATAACAAAAACACCCCCCACCCGCAAGTGCCAGATTCCGGCCACCACCGCCGGAATCTGGCCGAAAAGTTGCGTTACGACACAGACCCGTCGGATCTGTGTCGTAACGCGTCGATCTGGCCTTTTCCGGCCAGATCCGTGGCTGATCTGGCCGGAAAAGGCCAGATCTACGGCTAGATCTGGCCGTCGACGCCGCAAAACTCCATATGCGGCGTCGAAGGCCAGATCTGGCAGTAGATCTGGCCTTTTCCGGCCAGATCAGCCACGGATCTGGCCGGAAAAGGCCAGATCTGGCTGCTGCTTCGACGGCCAGATCTTGCCTTTTCCGGCCAGATCCGTGGCGGATCTGACCGGAAAAGGCCAGATCGGCACTTTACGACACAGATCCGACGGATCTGTGTCGTAATGCAGTTTTCCGGCCAAATTCCGACGATGGTGGCCGGAATCTGGCATTGGGGATGGTGGGGGTGTTTTTGTCATTTAACAAACTTTTTATATATGGGGGTGTTTAATTAAATTAGCAAACCTAGGGGGTTTTTTAGAAATTTTTAAATTTATAAAAAACAAAAATTGAAACTTTGAAGGGCATTTTAGTCTTTTCATTATTAATAAACAAAAATCATTAACAGAATATAACGGAAGGTACCTATTTGTCGTTTCAAAACCTTTTAGGTACCAACTTGTCGTTACGGTAAACTTTGGGTATGCACAAGTCGTTCGGCCTATTTACTAGTGTGTGAAAAAAGAACTTAGTTTCTCGACATCCTCTTAATCCCTCCTTTTATTATAGGAATAAACAATATTATATTGTTTATATAATGTTGCATTTGATGAAAGAAACATAATTTAAGGAAAAAAAAAATGGTAAATCTTAGGATACAAACTCCAATTTAAACAAGCAGAATGGCAAACTGGTCGATCTCAGATCAAAATAAAACACTAGCCAAAAGCATGGAACTTTTGCTCTGTGATTTGGTCGAGACTCTCCATCATTTCAGTTGTTAAATGGTTCTTGCAATCTCCAACCTTACCTTCCCTGAAGAAGATATCGTTCTTAGAACCTTGAACACGATAGATACCAGTCTTGTTCACCTCCAAATTTTTCATGTTCTCAAAGCTACAAAGTCTAACAATTTCATGCAAAACCCTATTTTCTTCTTCTTCCAAGTAAAATAACTCTGCCAATCTGAATCTCTTTATATTGAGTAAGGGCTCCTTTTTCATATCTTCACATTTTAAGAAAAGGACCCTGTTGGGGAACTCTAAACCTGCTTTCCAATATTCTAAAACATGATCCCAAAAGTGGAAATCCCTTCACAGAACATGTCAAATGCATCTTCGAATGAAGCAGATTAGAGCTGGGCAAGGGTCCGGTCCTTTGCGGGCCCAGGCCTGGGCCCGTTTGGGACTAGTCCCTTGGGATTGGTCCCAAATGGGACTAGTCTCTAATGGGCCTGGGACCGCAGCTGGGCAAGGGTCCGGTCCCTTGGGATTGGTCCCAAATGGGACTAGTCTCTCATGGGCCTGGGACCGGTCCCAGGCCCATGAGAAAAACCAGGACCCAAACCAGGCCTTAGGCCTGGTCGGGACTGGTCCCATGGGCCCAGGACCGGTCCCATGGGGTTTGGAAAATTTTATTTTCCCCCCTCAATTTTTTTTATATTTGAGGGCAAAACAAAATTTTATAGGGAGTTTTTAGTATTTTTTAGGGGTTGATTAGTAAGTTTCTAAAAATTTAATTAATTTTAAAAAATAATAAATTAATAATTAATTTTAATTTTTAACATAAATATAATATTCATATTTCACACATTCACGCTTCACAAATAAACAATTAAATAAATTTTTTTATTAAATTATTCATCTTCAATTTCATCGTCAACACTAGTTACATTATTTAAATCTGTATTCCTAAAGAGTTCGAGTAGTTCGGGATCTTCAGGGTGCTGTTGTAGTCTTATTTCTGCATGAGTCCAATCCCGTAAACACGTTATCACTTCAATCATCTCATTGGTTAAAGAACATCTTCTGTCTTCAACAATCCGACCACTCGTTGAAAATGTTGACTCGGATGCAATTGTAGAAACCGGCACAAATAAAATGTCACGTGCCATTTGGGATATAATGGGGAATTGACTTTCTTGTTGGTTCCACCATTGAAGAATATCCATGTCAAGTTGCTCCTTCATCGTCATAAAGGTCAAGTCCACCTGTAGGTAGCGAGTCATCTCATTTGGTCTATGTATGTATGAGCTGGAGCTAGAGTTGGAGCTTCCGCTACGTCCCACATACGCCCACTTGCTCGATCATTGAGGGGGGGCTACATCAAGGTCCTGATCGCCTCTCCTAGACGTTCCACTTCCACTTCCACTTCTACTTCCATTGTATCTGTTCTCATATAAAGAAAAAAGCCTATCCAATTTGTGTTTAAAGTCAGTCAAATAAGACGTATAATCATATCCTAAATAATGGCCTAGCTCAGTAATTACACCGTTAACTACGGATAATTTAAACCTAGGATCTAGAAAAAGGCCTAATCCATATAAGAATTGAATATCTAACCAATATCTCTTATATTTTTCTTCCATACTTGAAACAATTTCACTAAAAATGTTATCATATCTATATTGATCAAAAGTTTTAGCAATTTGAACTAAAATATCTAACACTAAATTAGTAGTTGGATAATAAATACCACTTAATGTATTAGTAGCATCATAAAAAATTTTAAGAAATGAATAAAAAAGTTCACAAACCGCCCAATCATCATAGTTGACAACTTCCTCTAGATAGTTCTTCCGGTTGACGAAATCTGTAATTTGTTTCGCGGTTGGCAAAGCTTTTTCCAACATCAAGTAGGTAGAGTTCCAACGGATAGGCATGTCTGTACATAACTTCAAAGGTCGAACCGGTGGGTCCTCTTGCTTACAATATTTGACGTACTCCTGCCATCTTTTATTGCTACCGCCGACGATAAATCCGATAGCTCTACGCACCCTCTCAATCCTTGAATGTATAGCATCTAAACCTGCTTTAACTATCAAATTGATGATGTGACAAGCACATCTCTGGTGATAAAATTTGCCTTCACCAAGCGGATCCAATTTCTTTTCAAATAAAGATATTGCCGCGGTGTTAGCAGCTGCATTATCAAGCGTTAGCGCTACAACTCTATCAGTTAATAAATATTCTTGCAAAACTTCAAGAATCGTAAAATAAATAGTTTCAGCACTATGTTTTTCATATAATGGTTTAAAACCTATCAATTTTTGTTGTAAACCCCAATTATGATCTAAGAAATGTACTGTAACAGTTAAAAAATCGGTTTTTGATCTACAAGCCCATATGTCTGATGTAAGTGCAATAGATATATTCCTAAAATTTTGAAATTCGTTTTTAAGTTTATTATTTATTTTGTTATAAAGTTTTAGTATATCTCTTCTACTTGTAGTTCTACTAACAGGGGTATATGCTGGACAAATACAGTTTTAACCATATTAACAAAAAAAGGATTTTCAGATAAACAAATGAGAGAGTCCGTAGCAACTATATATCTTGCTATTTCCTCTCGTGCAACATGTGTATTGTATTGCCATGTTGAGAGAGTTGAGGATTGTGGATTAAAATTAAGTTGAGTTTGAATTTGTCTACCTGATCCGCTTGATGATGCATTTATTTGGGGATGCTTTTTCTCTACGTGTCGTCGCATCATCGAAGTCCCCTTCTCAGTCCCAATAATGGTTCCACATAAATTACATATCCCACACGATTCTTCCCCCTCTCCATTTGTCTTTGGCCGTTTTGATTTGGTGAAGTATCGCCAGACATCGGACACGACCCTCTTTGACGGTCGGGGGGGTTGGGCTATGTCCGTGCCCGTTAAATCGCAGCTCACATGTGTTTGGCTACACCTCGTCCCGACCGAATGTGGTTGTGGAATTATAGCTGCATCCTCTGGAGGAAATGGTGAAAATGGATTGAAGGCTTCAATTTCTTCTGTGGATGGAACGTAAAACTCATTTAGGGAAGACATTATAAATTTATGATAAAATAATAAATAATTAAAATGAAAAGAAATTAAATAATAATATGAAATTATGATGATATTGAAAAATAGAAAAAAATTTAAATAATA